CCAAGCCAAAAACTTGTTATAACTTCCTTCAATCTTTTCTGCATGTACACCTGCAAGCTTTTCACTCCTTTTTCAAACTCTTTGGTGTAATTATCCTGTTAAATGCCCTCTCACAAATCCACTGGAACTGTGTGACCATTATACTGGAATAGTGTGACCAAGTTGCTAAAAGCTGGCCACAATGTGTGACAAAGTCTAAAAATGGGAGATGAAATTAGGTTTACCAAGCTTAAAAAGGTATGTGCTTTTTCTACAAAAATATCACTGTATTGTGTTTTGGCACTTCCAACATGCTGGGAAGTGGCAACTTATGCTTTACCAAAAAAGGACAAAATATTCACAATGTGTCATACATTTGAATATATTCTGCTGCATAGATCTATAAATATTTAGAAAGAATTATTACAATTTAAGTAGGAATATAACGTGGCTCAAGATGGAGAAGATATAATTAGATAGTTTAAACTGCAGCTGCTGTTGAAGCACTGCTCCAAACTTTCAGTTCTCTCTTTCTATGATTGCACTTGGATTGGCCAATTGTTAAAATACAAAAAATATCCTCTAAGGATTTATTGTAGTAAACAAAGTCAACCAAAAAAAAACAAAACTATTCCACATAACCAAATTATGCAAGGAAATGCATAATAGTTACATTACTGTATATTAAGAACCCCCAACTTTTGGGCGCACAGATAAATGTTTATAAAGCATAATGTCATAACTATACTTACTGAATTAATTTGGCAATCCATCAAATTTGAAAATTACTCCCATATGTAAACAATTGCTATCTTTCTCTCTCCTGCCCTACCACAAACAATTCCTGTTCAAGTAATACCTTTGAACATACAACTAAGCAGCTTTTCAACTTTGTAAAGTTATGCTGTGTTGTCAATAAGTGGTTAGTTATCCAAAGATATAGGATGATTGTCTAAAGACAATAAGGATTGTATCCATAAATACTGGTTTGCCAGACACATCCCAAACATGGATGCTCATCAATACTTCTGTATTGAGCACAAAGTCTGAGTTCATGTGAGCATATTATCAGAAGACATCTACACAAGAGACCTGAAAGAAAAATAGGAAAATCACTGGATCTGCCAAACAGACCTACAGTATCCAAAATCACTGTGAAAAAGGCCTCACATGGGCCATCCATGGTCCTTCCCCAGAAAAATGGGTACTTCCCCCAATATTAAATTTTTTTTCAGAATCCCTACCTATCTAGGCCACCATGCATCTTCATCTCTCATATTACCTTTTTTAATGGAAAGTTGTGCAATCTAGATTGATTGTGGCTGTAAAAGTGATTTAAAAAAAAAACTTGTTATATTGCATTTATCTTTATAATTATGCTTTCTATTCATCAACAGAATCTTCTATCTTTCAGCCATTAAGCCTTGGCTTCATTTCTGACTCCCTGGTTTTGCCAGCTACATTCAACAAGGTCACTTTTGATAATGAAGTCTTTATAAAAACACATGCCTTTTGCTTTGGTTCCTTAGTTCAGAGTTCCCCAACCTTTTCAGCTTTGTGGATTGGCGGTGGGGAGGGGTTGGTTCCACATGCTGCAGGCAAGCACATGCACAGTCCTTTGCATGACCAATAGGCATGCTCACCCACCACTCACGCAAATGGACCATGTGTGCACATGCTCACCCACTGCTCGCGTAAATGGGGATATGCACAAATGCACTCACCTGCCACTTGTGCGGCCCACTTCTGAAAGGCTCAATGCCTGGCATTGTGCTGTGGCCTGGGAATTGGAGACCCCCTTAGCTAAATCAGTAATTAATATAATACAAATATTCTCCTTTCCCTTGGGTATTAGCAACCTTTTCTCTAGTTTTGCAATTGCTCCATTTTGATCTGCTTCTTTATCCAGAACCTCAGAGTCAAAATCATTTCACTCTTGATTATTTATATCTTGGTAGAGTTTTTACTGCAATTCATCACTGATTTCAGAGATGGCTTGCCTTGCCTTCTCTGCTTTGTGGGTTAATAATCTGAAGATATGAGTAGTTTGGTAGACCGATCCAGGGATGCGATTCTGCCAGTTTGGACCGGTTTGGGCGAACTGGTACTTCCAGCAATCAGTTGGCCCTGCCCACCTGCCCGGGCCCTAGTCTGTCCTTTATTTCCATGTTTTGCAGCTCAGCTGATTCATGCAGCACAGTGGATTGCCCCCCCCCCCCCATCAGCTGTTTTACTCACTGAGGCTCAGTAGAAGGTAAGTTTTAGAGCTGAAAATGGGCAGTTTTCAAATGCTGCTCGCATGCACAAAGTATGCGCTCACCAAACCGGTTGTTACACCGATTGAATCCCACCCCTTGTATCTATTCCAGTGAATTATATTCATACAAGTACTGCAAGAACAAGAATCCCACCTGGCAGTAAACTACACTGCTCAAAAAAATAAAGGGAACTTAAACAACACAATGTAACTCCAAGTCAATTACACTTCTATGAAATCAAACTGTCCACTTAGGTAGCAACACTGTTTGACAATCAATTTCACATGCTGTTGTGCAAATGGAATAGACAACAGGTAGAAAGCATAGGCAGTTAGCAAGACATCCCAATAAAGGAGTGGTTCTGCAGGTGGTGACCACAGACCACTTCTCAGTTCCTATGCTTTCTGGCTGATGGTTTGGTCACTTTTGAATGCTGGCGGTGCTTTCACTCTAGTGGTAGCATGAGACGGAGTCTACAACCCACACAAGTGGCTCAGGTAGTGCAGCTCATCTAGGATGACACATCAACGCAAGCTGTGGCAAGAAGGTTTGCTGTGTCTGTCAGCGTAGTGTCCAGAGCATGGAGGTGCTACCAGGAGACAGGCCAGTACATCAGGAGATGTGGAGGAGGCCGTAGGAGGGCAACAACTCAGCATCAGGACCGCTACCTCTGCCTTTGTGCAAGGAGGGACAGGAGGAGCACTGCCAGAGCCCTGCAAAATGACCTCCAGCGGGCCACAAATGTGCATGTGGCTGCTCAAACAGTCAGAAACAGACTCCATGAGGGTGGTATGAAGGCCCAACGTCCACAGGTGGGGGTTATGCTTACAGCCCAGCACCATGCAGGAAGTTTGGCATTTGCCAGAGAACACCAAGATTGGCAAATTTGCCACTGGTACCCTGTGCTATTCACAGATGAAAGCAGGTTCACACTGAGCACATGTGACAGACGTGACAGGGTCTGGAGATGCCGTGGAGAACGTTTTGCTGCCTGCAACCTCCTCCAGCATGACTGGTTTGGCAGTGGGTCAGTAAAGGTGTGGGGTGGCTTTTCTTTAGGGGGCCGCACAGCCCTCTATGTACTCACCAGAGGTAGCCTAACTGCTATTAGGTACCAAGATGAGATCCTCAGACCCCTTGTGAGACTATATGCTGGTGTGGTTGGCCCTGGGTTCCTCCTAATGCACAACAATGCTAGACCTCATGTGGCTGGAGTGTGTCAGTAGTTCCTGCAAGATGAAGGCATTGATGCTATGGACTGGCCAGCCCGTTCCCCAGACCTGAATCCAAATGAGCACATCTGGGACATCATGTCTCGTTCCATCCACCAACACCACATTGCACCACAGACTGTCCAAGAGTTGGGGGATGCTTTAGTCCAGGTGTGGGAGGAGATCCCTCAGGAGACCATCCACCACCTCTTCAGGAGCATGCCCAGGCATTGTAGGGAGGTCATACAGGCACATGGAGGCCACACACACCACTCAGCCTCATTTTGACTTGTTTTAAGGACATTACATCAAAGTTGGATCAGCCTGTAGTGTTTTTTTCCACTTTAATTTTGAGAGTACCGCCATATCCAGGCCTCCATGGGTTGATAAATTTGATTTCCGTTGATAATTTTTGTGTGATTTTGTTGTCAGCACATTCAACTATGTAACGAACAAAGTATTTAATAAGAATATTTCATTCATTCAGATCTAGGACGTCTTATTTTTGTGTTCCCTTTTGAGCAGTGTATAAATGGATGAATCTCACTGGATGACTATACTGCTTTAAGGGAATACTTGCGCTTATACTCTCTAGCGCTAATCTATGTGAATTTTAGTATCCTTTAGAACAGAGAACAATAAGACACATCCTTAAGTGCTCTCCCTAGTCAAAGTCTTCTTTTCTCATAGAAAAAGAATTTACTGTAAATAAGTTTGTACCGGAATTGACTAGTACACATAAGATGTAATTACTTGGCAAACTCAAAGTACTACTTGTGTAATTGTTGCTATCTCTAATAGAGCTCCTAATAAAGATCATAAACTAATGTTTGGCACTCATATCCAATTAACATTAATTTTCTTACAATTCTCACCCTTCAAGCACCCCCTGCCCTTTCCATACTTTAAAATATTTGCTTTTGATTACATGGTTTTGAATTCTGTTCTAACAAATGCTTCATTTTTCTTCAATTACAGTAATATTTGGTTAAGTAGTTGCACCTTTACTATTCAAAACAACTTAAATTTCTACTCTCAGCACTGAATGGGACAAGATCTGTGTTCAAATGTCATGCTTGAAGTTGTACATTCAAGTTGACAAATGTGTATGTTAAATAACACATAGTGTGTTAATTTCTGTCCACAAACTTTATGGAGTCATAGTAATTCTCCTGAAGCAATTTTTTCACCAAATATTTTTTTTAAAATAAAGATAAACATTTTAATTACTGGAATGCAGGTTGCCTTTATAAAAACATAAAGGTTTTCCTTCAATTATATCTTTTTTAAACAAAGTTCTTCCCTCTTCTGAACCACTTGGGCAACAATGCCAAAGATGATACTTTTTTAATTTCCCATTTTTTCATCAGTATCTGGAAAGCTTCCTGCTGATTGTGGAACTCATTAATGGGATTATCTAAAGTGGCAAGAAGCTAAATGGAATTGAAATCCAAAAAGCATCATTAATTCTCTCACAAGATCCTAAATCTAAACCTCAGAAGATGTTGAAAATTGGGATTTGAGGTGAAGCACATATTGGAATAAAACTTACATTGTTGCCTTCTGTGTAGCTTTCCACGGAACAGAGACATTTGTAAGGATTATGACTTGTGTCACAATGATCAGCATGGCCAAAGCAATTACATCTGTAAAACAATAAAGCTTTTGATAAAAAAAAAAAAGCAAAACTGACTAGGAATTCCAGAACTTGCAGTACCAATGTACCTGGAGGGCAACATGTTGGATAAGGTTGATATATAATTTGAAAGGGCACCTTCCAGTTATTGTTTTTACATTGAAATGAATGTAACTGTCTGCTTCTGTTAAAGATAACCATCTCAGAAAAGGCTCAATTAAGTGTAGGAACTATTCCATGTCTCTCTTGATTCAGCATTTATAAATGTCAAATATGTGCTGCTTTCAAAGGGAGTAAACTGACAGGACATCTTGCAGACCAACTATTAACTGATCAAATGCACATTATGTATTTTCATTATATACTGTATAGATGCAAAATCCTAATTATTAATTAGAGTTAACACCTGTGTTTTCAACATTAACCCTTCCATCTGTAATTCCATAATTTCTTAAAACACATTATTTGCTTCTATTTATTTTCACAGTTTTTGACAAAATGTTCACTTTTCAAGTTACATCTTCATGGAACAAGACCTGGAGGTAATAATAATTTTAATTATAGCTCTGTATTTTCCATTGGTGCCAAATTCCAAATAAGGCATACAGCTGGTAATGATATATACAAATATAACTCAACTAATAGCACAAATGCCAATGTATTTTATTTACTTACTGCAACAAATTGTAGAAGGGAAAAACCTGACAGCTAAAGGTAAATATAGGCTTTCATCCTACAATGAAAAATCCTTAAAATAGATTAAATTATGTTTAATGATGTATTTCAAGATAAATAGATAATTCAATCCTTGCTAATGTGAAACAAACAACAATGTGATGTCTCCATCTGCACTGTTATCTGGATATATAAGTATATCATGGAACAAACCATCCAGTTTGAGTAAATGGGAAAAGTTATTGGGAAGGTCAATTATTATTGTTTACTTGCTAACTATACATCAGCCTCTCATCCGCTGTTTGTGTTTATAATTGTACAGTCCTAATAAAATTTGTTATGCTTAAATTCCAAAGAGATTAACTTATATTTAACTGCATCTTTCAACTGGATTTCAGTAGGGTTTAAGAACAACTCATTATATGGATTACTTGTTGAAACTATTCTTCTATTGCCAATATCCCCAAAATCCTACTGAAAATGTGCACATATAAAGAAGACATTTCATTTACAGAACAAATTCACTTATTCGAAAAATAGCATCTTAGCTTCTCCATAATTCAAACAGTTAAAATAATTAAAATAAATATTGTAATGAAATTATAATGAATACTGTCTTCAAATAATAATAGATACAATTTGCTTCCTAAGGAAGTCTGGAGTACTGTATTTTTGTCTAAAACATAAATTCCCAAGTGATTAAAAAAATAGCACATTTTTCACTAGAGACCAGCCATTACTTAATTTGCATTTTATTTACAGGGTGCAATTATGCCTTCAACTAGACTTGTGACTTACCATGCACAATAAAGCTGTCAGTCATAGATAATATAACATTTTTTTGCTGACAGAAGCCTCATTTTTAAGAAGAAAAACTAGCCAAGACAAAGAATTTTGTTCATTACTAAATCCATTACATCTGCCACAGATGAGACACCATAATAAAAATTGAAAATATGGTAGATGATCCTCTTTCAATCAGACATACCTCTCCATATGAATGATCAAATCCAAAATTTAAGCATTATTGATAAATGAAATAATATTAAAGATGGAAACTAGTCAAGCTATTTTAGATTTGAAATCAGTGCTGGTGTGCTATATTATATAAGGCTGAACGGTGCTTAAAATCTGAAAGTGAAAAAGATGTTTCAGAGTTGTCTGCAGTTCCTTATACAGACATATTTTTTCCTGAGATTTTGTGACAATTGAGGATGGCAGGTACTTACTCCCAGGAAAACAAGTGACTGCTTTCAAGATAGGTAGGGGCTATATTCATATCCCTACTTGTTGCAAAGATTTTTTTTAAACTTTGTGTCCAAAACACTGCACAGCCATAATACTACATTCTCATTTATAATACCATGGTGATCTTTTATCCCAAAACTTAATTTTTAATAGGAACATCACACAACTCACCTTCCACTGATTGTAATTTCATCAATTCCATAGTATCTATGTCCAAAATTAACCCAGGGCATAGTAGTGTGATACTGGCCAAATAGATGAATCTTAATTTTTGAGACTTTGACAAACTCTTGAAGTGATGGTGTATTGTAGAAATCATTATATCCTGGGCGATGATTTGGTTCTGGAGTAAGAATACTGAAAGTAATATTTCCATGGGAATATGGAGGATGGCTATTGAAACATAGAAAAAAAAAAGAATGTCCCAATGTTTTCAGGGTTTTGAGAAATTGTATGGTTGTTTAAATGGAACAATTTTAGCCACGGGGAAAAAAAGGAACCTGGTATAATTTCCAAGCACTAGAATGGAGGCATCATACTTATTTAAAATAATATGAATCCTTGTTTCGGATTACAAACCCTTCCAAGATAGAATTCACAATATAATAACAAACAAACAATAGTCAAAACTAGTGAAAATAAAACAACTGGCTTTTTAAATACTAATTTTAAAAACATCCTGTCCTGAATGATTTAAGTGAAGTCCACAGCAATGTGAGTCTTTAGGGTCTTGACAACTTACTTCTCCTAATACATTCCAGAAGTAAGAAGCAACAACCTCTATTCCCTTGTGTCTTCCAATCTGAGTAGCTTCGGATAAAATCCTATTACTGATCTTAGAGCTCTGATTGTTATGATGTTACAAGCAGAAATGACTTCAAATAAGTTTCCCTCAAATTGGCTAAAGGTTAAACATATTTTAAATGTAGCTTGGAAACACGGTACAGCTGGAGCAACACAGATATCCCATAAACCAACTGTTTTCCTCCCAGCAACATGGTTGCATTCTACACTAACCAAAATTTCTGAATAATCATTAATAGCAGGCCCATAGTGTATTATTGTCATTTTCACTGGATGTCACTTGTGCTTACATAACTGGGCCAACTTCTAATTACTCCAGATAGAATCATAACTGACGTACCAGCTTAAAAATTATGTGGACCACTACTGCTCCTAAGTTTGTTTAATAAAAGACAAGTTCAGAATTCTCAAAGACAAGTTCAGAATTCCCATGATCATTTACCAGAAATGCAAGCTCATATAACAATTTCGTAAATCTTCATCCTGAACTGTAGGTTTTACTATCCCCAGTCTACCTTCCTATTATTATTAACTTTTAACTGAATTGTTCATATGCATTCCAAAACTCCATTGCATTCAGGAGACCTAAGTGAAAGTGGAATTTGAGCTGCATCCTGATGGGACTTCATTCAAAACATATCATGGAGCTATAATTTTGTGATTCATAACAAAAATACAACTGACACTTAGTTAATCCACTAAGTGGATCTAGTTTATTTTAATAGTTCTCTAAATACTTCAGGGAAAAACAGCAATTCTTTCTCTGACTTCTTTATTTTTATTTTTATTGGGGTCATGCAAATATTGTAACAGTATATTCTTACAAAACTGCATTCAACCCAAACTAGTATACATTTCTGTTCCTTTCTTAAAAGGGTATAATTCCTATGCAAAATAAACTCTGCCATCCCATTTGGATGTGTGTTTGTGTGTGTGTGTGTGTACGCGCGGGTATTTATATGTATGGTATTCAGCTTTGTTCAGGTATTTTCCCACATCTTTATAGTATCTATTTTCCATTCTATTGTGATATCTACAGGTATCTGGTTCTTCAGATCACCACTTATTCCAAGAAGAAGTGAGGACAAATGAGCAGACCTAGCACTGGCTAGTCAAAACCAGATATAAAACATATGCCAGAAAAAATTATAAATAAACATAAAAATGACTGATTTCCATATATATTAAAATTATTTTACTTGTGCTAAAATAATTCTATCTAGACTTGAGAAGGTTATGCATAAATAATTCAGATTCAGTTCTTGTGATTTAATTCACAATTAGGATGTAAATCCCTACAATCAACTTTGGCTCTTGGTGACCTCTTGGGTGTGTCCTATATGGAATTGTTTTGCCATCTATTACAATAAAATATGAAGACCTTTCTTAGACTTAGAATAACTTTCTTCTTAGGAGATATGAAAATGGATGGAAACTGAAGTGCATTCCTATCCTTTAGTGAATAGTTCCCTACTATAATTTGTTTGCAGATAAACACAACATAGGTTTTATTTAAAACCCAAATAGCAATATATGGTAAATGTGCAAAGCATTTTTTTAATATATATTTTTCCCTGATCAGCAAGTATTTAAATCTAGGAGAACAAGTCAGATATTCTGTCAATTTTAGCTTTAAAATCACAATGATAACTCATTTCCTACCAGCTAATTCTCAAATGTACATGTGTTTTGGGGGTCTTTTTTTTTCAATTACGTGTAATTTCCCTATGCAGAATCGTTTACATGTATCACTTTATAGTATTGTTTATGTCATGTAATTGAAGGAAAGCACTGTTCCATTGTAAAACATTTCTACTGTAGCACCATTTCACACATTAGCACTTGCACTTTTTTGAAGATGCACTATTGCATAAGCTGGACTGTTTTTAATATACTTTTGACTATACACCAAAATATTACCTTTTGCTGAGCAAGTTAATGCTTATAATTTTTGCTTCTTTCCATCCCTTTGAATAATATGAAAACCAGCTATGTTTTGCTGAATATGAATGCACGTTCAGCAACCTCTTACTCTTCTCCTGTATTGTAATGAAGATGTGTGGAAGTCCAGAGAAAATGCTGACACTTTTAATAGCCTACCTGCCAGTATTGAAAGGAATGGGAAGGGAGAGGCAAACAAACAGCAATTGTACCTGGTGGATTGGCCCCTGATGGGTTTTCAGACAAGTGTTACACATTCCTGATGCTGAGTGTTTTCTAAAATGTCCTAAGAGTTTGTGCAATTAGAGAGTTATAGCTAACAGCAGACTTTAAGGGAAAAAAGCAAGAAAGAAAAGCTATATTATTTACTTATGCAAAGCAACTGTCTTGTAAAAATTCTAGAACAGTATGTAGCTGCAGAGATGTTGTTTCTTTAGGCTATGTTAATCATTCACAATTCTCAAAGGTGAAGAGATGCACTTACCAAGCTAAAGAAAGACAAGTACTATGCAGTTTTTGTGAAAATCACTCTCTTTCACTACCTTCACTTTTTTTGACAATACAGTAAGTACCAAGTAAGTAAATACCTTTTCCCCATCTTGTAAGTTTTTCTGGTCTTTAAAACTATCCACCTTTAAAGACTTTCACAATCAAGTTTTCAGTTTATTTACTAAAATATACGTATTGATCTGTTGGAATCCAGCAAATGCCATTTGACCATTATAATAATTTCTGTAATACTATTAATAATCACTATTAAACCTCTTATATATTCATTCATCTCCTTAGTATTTTTTTTAATGAAAGGCATACTTTCAGAAAACTTAAAAGTTGTTATCAGATCATCTTAATGATCTATTTCAGTTGAGGTAGGAAACTACTACTTTGGGTAGTATGCTGAAGATCATATTCAAAGAGTGGGACTAAGAAATGAACAGGTACAATCAGGTGAAAAATACCCTACATATTAATACAGATAGACCTTGCTTACTAACTACCTTGTGCAATGACCATTTGAAGTTACCATAGTGCTGAAAAAATAACTCAAGGCACACATTTACAACTTTTACAGTTCCTCAGTCATGTGATCACCATTGGAGTCAGCATGCACTGTCCTATGGCTGACCTAATGTTTTTCTCATCTTCAGTTCCTTACAGATCAGAGAGATCAGAGAGGGAAGGATTATAAGAGAATAAGCAGCACACAATGACAAAATGCATCAAAAAACAACAGACCCAAATGCAATAGGCAAATAGCCAGAGTATTTTTTACAGTCTGTCAACTTACTCTCCTGTAATTTATTTCTGCTTGTAGGGGAAGAAGTGAAATAAACAGGTCAGGAATAGGAGAGTTTGCCTAAAGGTATTGCTTCTGTTTTTCTCTCTCCTCTCCTACTTGTTTAAGCAATTTTTCTAGTTTGCAGGGATGGCGAAAACAATTGATGTTGTGTGTGTGTGTGTGTGTGTGTGTGTGTGTGTGCATATTGGTGCATGTGTTTGGAATTTGGAAAGAAGAACACTCTGCTTTCAATAGTTTGCTACAAAAAGATAGTTGTGTGCCTGTGTCCCACCCTAATCAAGGTGGAATTTTATGGCCAAAGTAGAATTGTAATTTTCATTTTCTCTGGTCAAGAGTTGCATTCTTTGCCAAGATCAGGCAATACAAACCTTGGAAGCATTCTTGAAAGTAATTTATGACTCAAACACTTTAGCACCTAATTTGCAAATAATCACACTGAAGGAGGACTTAATTATGAGCTGCTGCCACTGCTCCTATGAGAGTCAAAATATTCTAGTCCAGCATAGAAAATTATGTAAGGCATTGGTCAAACAAGAGGTTCAGAAATATGGTTTCTAAACTTCTTCAAAACAATTTTGTGGGAGATTTCACACAATTGCTATAGCAGGGCTAGTCAATAATTTTATTTATATATTTTTATTTATTTTGGAATCACTTATCTCTCTCACAGAAGAACTTTTGATGCTATAAAATAAACACTAAAAGTATATCAAAGTATATCAAATAAAATAAACACACAGTATATCAAAGTTAAGATTTAAAAAGAAGCAAGAATGATTAAAAACAATGCTATAAGTTAATTAAAAGATGAAGAATGGGCTTGCTTCTTTGTGATCCCCAGCCAAGAGCCATGATTTCACACCTTTTCAGAAGGCCCACCTCTGGGGGGAGAATATTCCAATGGTAGGGGGCTTTGTTCCTGGACCTTGACAGAATTGTTTAACTGACAGGGCCTGGAATATACCTTTCCTACCTGATATAATGGGACAAAGACAGTTCTGTAAGTAGCCAGATCCTAGCCGTAGAAGGCTAATAATGAAATACTTAATTAACAAAACAGCTGAGGTTTCTCTCCATGCCAATAATAATAATAATAAAAATAAAAGTCTATCTCTCAGATGTGCTCAATTTTCCCATTCTACTTTTTGTAAAACACACACACACACACACACACACACACACACACCATTTGTTTGTTTGTTTGTTTGTTTGTTTGTTTGTTTATTGGGAGCTGAATAGACTTTCAAGTTTTGTAGTGGCCTCTCATCATTTTTACGTTCTAAAAATACTATGTGAAAAAAAATGAAACCAAGTGGGACAAGAAGCCATATGGGAAAAAGAAAAGCATCTGCTTGCTTATTGGCGTCCAATGCACTATGTTGTCTGTGCAAATATGAGATGTAACTTAATTCAATATAAGCTTGTTCATACCTAGCCACCTGTAGACAGTTTACAGAATCTGGATATTGCAGCGATCCGTTATTCTCCATTCCAACCACACTACAATCCCTTGCAAAATATTGCCAGTCTTCCCAACCAATGGAGGGTTGCTTTTTTCTTTGTATTCGGATTACTTCAGGCTGAGGGCTGAAGAATTGGATTATAACATAAAACACCTGCAAATGAACAGCAAAATGCTAATTAATATGGAAGACTTATGCAGAATCAGAACATTTAAAGAAATCTTTAAGATCCAACCCACTGCTCAATGTAAAATCTCCTAAAAGTATATCTGATCTAACCTTTTCCTCTGTGTTGTAGGACCTCATGCGAAAGAGAAGTCAACACATCACATGGCAGCCTGTTTCCACTGCCAATTCTTCCTGACATCTATCCTAAAGCTACTTCCTTGTAATTTTAATTTACTGGTTCTGGTCCCCAGGCCAGCAGAAAATAAAGCCAGTCCCTTTTCTGTGTGATATACCTTCAGGTATTTAAAGATTATAATTCTCTCCTCTCAGGTATGTTTTCTCTGAACTAAACATACCCATTAAATGTTCCTCACAGGGCTCGATTTCCACACACCTCACCTACCAAGCTTAGCTCTCCTTGGTATCTTTTTTCTTAAATTTCTTTAATCAGTTATTGTTCTTTCCAAACATTAACAGTAACTGCACATTTGCACTTACTGCAAATGTTGACTTTTATACTCTTTTATCTTAGTAACAAAGATTCAAGTCATAATCACAAAAATATGACTTTAAAAAAAACTATTCAAAATGTAATAATATATATTAAATTATGAAAAAATATTCCATTATTCCATTTAGAAGAAAGAAGAAATCCAAATAACAGAACTCCAAACTTTTTTGAAGGGGGGCAGGATTAACCATTCTGACAATGCAACTCATTTAAATAAATGAGTCTAGAAAACCAAGAAAACATTCTGGACACACACACACACATGTAAGTTTGGATGATGTCATCAGTTTTGTAAAAGAAAGATTCAGCAGCACTAATTATAAAACAACATGTCTTTTACTATCCTGAAAAAATATATTTCCACAGCATTCAACTCAGACAGCCTGGATTCAGGTGACAATTGCACTAATAGAAGAACATGTGTAATTTTATAAACTGTTTTTGTTTACTGAACTATGCTACAATCTATGTATTAATGGGAAAATCAGAACTTTGACCATAGGAAGTGGAAATAAAGTACCATCATAAATATTTTTGTTGTTGTTACCATATGTATCAAATATAATAACATTATGTTATTCATAATGTATTCCTTAAACAACTTTATAACCAGAAGGAGCTCTTCTGGAAAAGAAAAGATTACATAAGTTCTAATAAAACAAGCAAAAATCATAGGCTATCATAGAAAAACTTTCCTAAAGTTAACAACCAACAAAGGATACAAATGAAAGTAATACTAAAGCAAGAGGTTCCTCACCTGTCTTTCTCCACATAATTCTACTCATATGTTCAATTATCATAAGTGAACTCTAATGCTTTATATTCCTGAGCATTTATTATACCCTATGCTAGGGGTGTCAAACTGATGGCCCGCATACTGGATGCATCGCGTGTAGGCCATGCCCACCCAGCTCCTCAAAGGGAAAAAACATTGCAAAACATCATGTGACAATAACATGAGACGGCGAGTTTGACACCCGTGCCCTGTGCTATTACTCTGTGCTCAGTGTCCCTTCTTCCATTATAATTGGTTTCTTATTATTAAAATAGAGGAAGTATTCATATTTCACAAGTCACAATCTAGTATGCCTTGCAAAAAGCAAAAAAAGAAGGAAGGTAAGTTGCTATCCAATGGATTCCCATAACAAAAACTAAACATTCAAGATTCTAAAATGCATGCTACTTTTTGACAAAGCAGTTCCTATTTCTAAAGCAAAGTACCCTAAGCCAAATTTTTCTTCATCCAGGACAGAAGCCTCTTGTAGACTTTGGAACTACACACTGATATTTTGAGGTGATACAAAGATTTTTTTGTCAAAGCAAAAAACACTGTCTTATTCGCTGTTCTAAAATGCAATGGATCCAATATACATTTTTGTACCTTATCCATCGTTACAAGATTTCTAAGCTATGTTTGGAAAAAACCAGAATTCTTTATATTTATCATACCACTTCAATGAACTTTTAGACAGGCTTCCATGAATTATTGGTTGTTTACCAGTACCAATCTGCTATGCAACACTTAATAGCCATATGTCGAGCATCAAGGTTGCATCCCTTGAAATCCAAGTGTGCGCACAAGAATTTCCCAGAATTGTGAGATAGGAATTCCTGAATGCACTGAAAATCTTCAAAGAGCTAAAAGTGTTAAAAAATAATAATTTAGAATATCTAAAAATCATATGAATTCCTGAAATATTACATTTAAAGAATAGGAGACAAAGTACATGAAAAAGGTATAAGTTTACTTTTTGTGTCTTTGACTCCTGGTGACTATGCAGACAAGTCCATACAATTTTCTTGCTAACATTTTTCAAAAGTTGTTTGCCACTACAACAGTTTCAACTTATAACAGTTCATTTAGTGACCATTCAAAGTTACAACAGCAATGAAAAAAATGACTTATGACTGTTTTTTACACTTACGACCATAGCAGTCACATGACCCCATGGTCATGTGAACAAAATTCAGATGCTTGGCATCTGGTTCATGTTTATGATGGTTGCAGGTTCTGGAGTCATGTGATCACCTTTTGCGATCTTCTGCCAAGGGAAGTCAATGGAGAAGCCAGATTCACTTAACAACCATATTACTAACTGCAGAGATTTACCTAACATGAATAATTCCATGGCAAGAAAGGCAGTAAAGGGGAAAAAACTCACTTGACAAATGTCTCACTTAGCATCAGAATAATTGGGCTCAATTGTGGTTGTAAGTCAAGCACTACTTGTATTTTCTTCCTAGGCTGGCACAAGTTTCTACTTGGCTTTATTCATAAAGCAGGATTAAAACTCATGGTGTTTGGTTCCTAGCCCAGTGACTTTAATTACTACACCAAACTGCTTGTCATGTGTTTATCTCCCCTCAAGAGAAACCAGCTGATATCAAAATAATTAACCCACGTATATTGATCCTTATTTATCCTGATTACATTTGGAATATGCTTGAATTTCTGTTAATTAATGAAAACAGAAAACAAGAAAGGAGAGAACTTTAAACTTACCTGGTACTGTCCATTTTCTAAGTCAATGGTGATGGTTACTCCATGACGTAGATGTTCAGTGGTGTTAAATATAGATGAAATCCACGTAGTTCCAATATCATTATCATTGATATAGCTTAAAGGGTGAGCTTCAGGGTTTAGTCTGAGCACTCTGTCATTCGTTGTGTCATCTGCCCCATTAGGAATGCAATACCTCTGAACCAAAGGATGTACCCTTGGGTGACTTCCAGGACAGCGACATTCTGATTGAATATGAAGTTGAGGAATTTTTCCAGACCATACTTCAAAAATGTCTCTAAAATAATAGAAATAAATAAGAAATCAGTAAGGCACATCACAAAGAAATGAGAAAGGGTGGTTTTTAAATGCCTAGGTACAAGATTATGCACAAATGTCCTATCCAAGGACTTGCAGATAAAAACCATCAGACTGGTAGGCACAAAAAACACAGACTTCTCAATTATGGCCCAATTTTTACAGAAGGATTTTCTAATGGAAGGTAATTGACCTCCCTTCTAATTGTTTTCAAACAGGCTTTAAAGAACTGCTTTTAACTGAAAAGCAGAGGTAATTCTCAGTTAATGATAGTAATGGGAACCAGAATTTCCTTTGTTAAGCAATGTGATTGTGAAACTCAATGTCACATAACTGCAACTCTTAGCAATGGCAATGTGGGCACTCCCCATTATTATCAGTAAGTGAGGAAGGTAGATGGTGAAGCAAGTCCCAAGTAGTTCACAATCAGGCCAGCACGTAGGTGAAAGGGTACAGGTGTGGTGGGGCCAGCTGATGCCAAATAGGGGAAGATGTTCAAGCAGCTTGTAAGGCATAATGTGATCCCGATGGGGAGTGGCTGCTGGCAGGCAGGGGAAAGTGCAAACGACTTACTGGACCAACTTAAGACCTTCCCTGCCAGATTTTGCTTGTGGGAAGCCGCAGTGAAGATTGCAAATGGCAATAAGATCACCGCAAGATTATGCAACTGTCGTAAGTATGAAACAGTTGCCAAGCATCCAGATTACTATTGTGTAACTGCAGAGGTGCTACAACAGCTGGAACTTTGGATCCTGGTCATAAATCTCATTTTTCAGTGCTACTTTAATGGCGTTAAGCATGGACTACCTGAAAATTCAGCATTATTAATCATTTTAACTTTAGTTTAGTTGTCCTTTCTTGGTTTTCCATGAAAAATAAATTGGGATTTATTTTCATTCACTCAACTGTATTTTAGATTTATTGCTTATTAAGTTATTAATTTATTTATGCACTTTTAATGAAACTTTTTTGACATGTTTCATTATCTAAAGAGCAGTATAGACAAATTGAAATCACCAATATCTAAAATATATTAACACAGGCAGTTCTAACAAATTTGTGGATAAAAAGTTTATAAATAGGAAAGGAGATATTTTTTTTTGCAATGAATCACTAATTGCTGGATTTTGAAAAATTAATATTTTTAATAATGCAATGCCACAATATTGGCACACAAAATAACCCTTCAAAGGCACTTCAAACATATATTATTTTTATGCTATACGATCTTCAAAGCTCCACACCACAGTATTATGGAAAATGCTTTGTATAGACATATAGATACAGATGTCTATTTAATCTAACCTATTTCTTTTGCTTAAAAAATGTAGCATTTTTGACTGAAAGGGAAGGAACGACTATAACACAAGTTCTGAAGGCAAATATAGGTTTTCCATGTTCTACAACAGTTGAGAGTGTTTACAGTGTTTCAGTGTGAATGTTTTACATGAGAATTAGGAAGATGCCATAAAGAAATCAGTTATGTTTTAGGAAAATCTCACAACATATGGATATTATGTGATTGGTGTACAGGGGCTTTTATTTGTTTAATTTCTTGCTTAATATCTTGAAAGTACAACTGCTTGAATCCATGCAACCAATTAAAAGCCTTCTTTGCATTCAGGTTGCATGAAGGTACAGTTACACATCCAATGACTTTAAAAAGCCCAAGAAACCACATTATCATAATTACATCATTTTTATCTTGATAATTGCATTTTTAAGTTTTGTAAAATTGAGAAAATCCCTACCTGTTTGTAAGGGCCATTTGGTACAATCTGAAATCTTGCATCCTCCCAACAAATTGCTCTGAACCTGCAAAAATACATTATAAATAAATAATCCGGTTCCATCAACCAGAAAACAACTCTGTGCTGCTTGAGGAAATCTTAAATTCAGCACACAGAGCTCTCTCTTGCACAATTACCTTTTTTGAATGAAACCATCTTGGTTCCGGACAAAACTATGGAGGGCAGTAACTTAATTCTTTTGATTAAAATGATTTATAATAACTTTATGGGAACATTTTGTACCTATCCCTTATCTGATTACAGAGGTGGCAGAAAAACTGGCTCATTAGACAGAAGTAATGAGCCAGTCCATGTGCCATCTCTAATTAGAGAAGAGATATACTGGAGACAACTGTAGCTCTCACTTTACGTGGTAAAGATTAAAGGTTTATTTTTTAAGATTTCTTTCTGCCTTGCATAAGTGTGTGTCTGTATCTGATATTCAAAATAACAGTGCCAAACACAAGCACTTTGAAAGGAGAAAACTTTCAAGTTTTGATGTATAGGAGCTCAGTGGTTTTTGAGAATAAATCAAACTTTCTTCAGGTCAGATGCAGATATATTTAGGACTCAGCTCCAAATTACACTTTGTTCTGGATCAGTGATACTCAGCCTTAATAAATCTGCTGAACCAATTCATCACCAAACAGAATTTCAGGGAGCTGCAAAATCACTGAAACCTTATATTGACAGCTATGGTCAGAAAATGGCGGGGCAGGAGGGGGTATCAATTTCCTCATCACCAAATATTCACTCCAGATTACTTCAATACATGGGTATTTCTGAGACATGTTTTTCCCCCCCTTACTCCTTTTCCTTAGCTTACTAAATGAACCTTTCCCAAAAGTTTTAATATTGTGTTTTTAACTGACAAAGGAACTTAAATATCTTATTGCAGAAACAGAACAAAAACAGTTTCTGTTCCAAACACTTGAGGGAGAAGAGGAATAAGGATCTAGGTCTTAGATGGCCAAAATCAGTAAAATCACATATGTGACAATAGCAATAGCACTTAGATTTATATTCTGCTTCACAGTGCTTCACAGCCCTCTTTAAGTGGTTTACAACATCAGCATTGTCTCCAACAATCTGGGTCCTCATTTTCCCAACCTCAGAAGGATGGATGAGTCAACCTTGAGCAGGTCAGGATTGAACTCTGGCTATGGGCAGAGTTAGCCCACAATACTGCATTTTAACCACTGTGTCACCAAGACAAGATTTTTTTTCCATAATCTAATATTTATCTTCTAAAACCTTGTAATTCTAACCTGATCACATGTAAAGAGCACATTAGAATTCAAAAATAATTCAGTTTTGGCTTTCAAACAATGAAATCTTTATCCATAGAAAGATGGCATAATTGTTTTATTCACTCTTGTCCTTAAGTCAGACATCCAAGCAGCTCTTCAAATAGATTCTTGATAGTCTTGAGCAAGCTCTACTTTCTCCTGGTGGAGTAAGTACTGAGCTACATTACCATGCTATTGATGGCTACTAATGGGAAAAATGAGGGCCAATTTGGTGTAGTGGTTAAGGCATTATCCTAGAAACCAGGAGACTGTGAATTCTAGCCCTGATGTGGACATGAAGCCAGCTGGGTAATTAAGCCAATCACATTCTCTCAGCCCTAGGAAGGAAGAAATGGCCAACAGCTTCTGAAAAACCTTGCCAAGAAATGCAAAAACAAAAACAAAAAAAGGGGGGGAAGTAGTTTAACCAATTATAGTTATATTAAAGTAACATTATAAACAGAGTACTTGTAACATATGCAGTAAGTAAAATGCATGATTATGTTTACAATGAATGTGACTTGAAAATTTTTTGACTAATTAATTTTTTAATCTCAATATCGCTATAGATAGTCAGTATGAGTGAAAATTTTCCTTTTTTCATCCAACATATCATTTTTTGTCCAATTTGAACAATTGTTTTTGTACAGGATGAAGTGTTCAGAATTGTTCTGACTGATTGCCTATTTCCCAAGGTACTATCAGCTAGCCCTCAGGTAGTCAAAACTAGGAAATGATCATACATAGTAATTTGTTTAGGATTATTCATAACAGCACTTCTAAATTACTGTTCCATCTTCTATGAAACACAGATAACTAAAAGATAACTAAAGCATAAGTAAAGCAACTATAGAATATATCTATATATATTTTTTGGTTTTTGTGTCATTTTTTGTTTTCCCAAATTTTGTTCTATTGTACTTTACTAATTTATTTGATTCTTTTTGTTTAGTTTTTATTGTTTTTTATTTTTTATTTTAAATATGGTTTTACATTGTGTAAGCTGCCTCGAGTCACCATGGGCGAATAGGCTGCAATATAAAATAAATAAATAAAATAAATATCTACAGAAAAAGATGTGAGCCAAAATAAACACTAAAATTAATAAAGTCTTGTCTCATACACCAGCTTTTAACAGTGATTCAAAAGAAGAAAGTGTACAAAATTGACATGGCAATACTAAGACATAGTAGAATAGAAGACAAAGAATGGAAGAAGATAAAAAGGATCAAGGTCTGAATATGAAATAATGAAAAACTGTTATTACAAATTATTTTATTTCAGTTTCTTTTTACTCTTTTCTACTTTATCCAAGCTGCATTCTTGGTGTATTTGAAGGCCAACAACAGCTAAAGAACTGGCAGCTGCGATTTCACACTATTGTCCACACTCTGGATAGGAAGACCATCAAAATAAAGACAACCAAATCATGGCCTTCATCCAAGTAGTGACATTGGCAGACTCTACTTACGAAGGTTGGTGTGGAATATCTGGAAGAACTACTGGGACCACTAAATAGATAAAAGTCATACAAAATGAAGATGCTAAAGTGCTCTGGGATTTTAGCATCTGAACAGACAATAAACATCCACATATAGGAATACCCAGAATTAACAAATGTTGATAAGAAAGACAAAGAGCTGGATGGTGGACATTGCAGTATCTGGAAATAGCAGAATAGAAGAGAAACAACTGGGGGGGGGATCACAAAAGACAAAAATCTGCAAATAGAGGTAGAACAACTGTGGTAAGTTTGCTTTGCAAGAAGGAAAAGAGGGAACCCAATAGTAAAAGGCTGTTTGGATATAATCCCAAAACCTTTGGGGCACCATTTGAACACCATTGACATTGACAAAATTACCACCGGTCAATTATAAAAGGCAGCTTTACCTGGAACATTTTACAACAATATCTTTAATACCATCAAACATCCACATCTGCCTATCCCAGGGAAGGGCTCGATAGATGGATAAAAGTGTGAAATCTAGTCTAAATATCTGGTTAACTATGAGATGAAGCATAATAATAATAATAATAATAATAATAATAATAATAATAATAATAATGTTGAATATTGCATTGCCATCCAATCTATTTTTTAGTTATTATTATAAGTCTATCCATTCAAGACTTTCCATCAAAATCACTCACCATTTAAATTTTGCCCAATTCTCCATTCACCATCAATAGAGGGATCTGCTATTAGCCCTGTGAGAATTCTGGAATCGAAGGCTGTATCATCATCTTCCAAGCCATTTATAAAGAAACTAATTCTGTTGTGATGAACCTATAAATTGACACAGAGAAAGTCCTATAAAAAACAATAATCCTACAAGTCTCTGTCAAATTAGCTTGGAATCTACTTTACCAACAGTTTCATACAAACAAGTAAAGAACTGCAATTTGTATTTACTGTATTAACCATTTCCCACTAGAAAAAATAAAATTCATGTGTGAAAACAGAAAGAAGCCTCAAAAGTTCAAAATCGTGTAAAATTAATAAATATTTTAATTCCAAGAATTTCACATATAATATTAATAATGTTTGGCACTAGTGTGATGTGGTCATCTCTGTACATACAGTATATCTATTGGTCTTTTGGTGATAACATTAAAAATCTATGAAACAATATTTATTACATTTACATAGCTACACATCTCATTGAAAGGTGACCATGCAGCATACAATTAAAAATATTCATAAAGTCAAAATATTAAAACAAGTACAATTAACAAACATCAACAATATTATTAGTAACAAGTTGGCTGAGAAAATTTAGGAAAAATCACATTTTATGGGTGAATTTGGATTGAGATCCTTATGGAAACTTGTATTGTGCTTTGTACAGAAAGCATTAAGATGCAACATTAGAATATTTATTTATTTTATTTATTTATTTATTTATTTGATTTGCCAATTGTTTACAAGATAATAAGTATAAGTGTATACATAGTTGTGAATACATGAAATGGGTACATATAAGAAAAATAAAAGAAGAATAAGAGAAACAATAGGACAGGGACGGTAAGCACGTTGGTGCGCTTATGCACGCCTCCTACAGACCTCTTAGGAAAGGGGTGAGGTCAATAGTAGACAGTCTAAGGTTAAAGTTTTTGGGGTTTGGGGAAGAAACTACAGAGTCGGGTAGAGTATTCCAGACATTGACCACGCTATTGCTGAAGTCGTATTTCCTGCAATCAAGTTCTTACTCAAGAATCTGAAAGTACTGCCAATTTTGTTAAAACATACAAACTACAGTAAAACAAAGAAACAGATCATGGTGAATTGAAAGGAATTGTGAATAATCTTTCAATGTTGTACACACAGGAAACATTTAATTTAAAATAACTGAATTTTAGCCATATATTACCTAAGACGGTACATTTTACTTTCTAGCACTTTGGGGGGAAGTCATGGTAAAAGGCATATTAACTCTTAATACAGTACTTAATGCAGTTTAAAATATAGCAATCTCCTTTAAAGTCATTTCAGAATTTAGAAAACACAGTCTGATATACAATTTTAAAAGGACTTGGTAAACAGGAAAACAATGGAAACTGCAATATCTGCACTTTCTCTTACATTCTGTAGCCATCTATTTCTATATTTGTTTGGTACTTCTGATTTTCTCTAAACCAGTTTTTTTTTATTGCAGAACAAGCAAAACAATGAACACATTTCTCCCAATGAAGATAGTAATCTCTTGAACCAATGTTGACACATAGCAATTACATTCTACATTCTACATGTCTGTGGTGTTCATCAGATAATATGTGTTCTAGCTCAGTTGTGTTAGCCACATTTGGCTATGCAATGTAAAGGATCTAAACAGGAATAAAATATTTCCCAACTAATAATATAAATATTAGAAGTCTCTCAACTAAATTTTGCTCAATATAGCATTATATATTTGCCAATGCTTTCAGGAATTCACAACCAAGCTTGACTCCAATTCCACTAATTATTTTTATCAAGCCTCCTGCGATCCCCATGTTCTCCCTGCAAGATTAGCTACAAGTTTCTCTTTTCAGCAATGTTGTTCATTTTCCATTTTAGAATTTTCATTAGAATTTTGGGTACTTTGCTTTTTCAGTTACCATGTTCTATTAATCTTTTTTTTTTTCCACTAGAAAATCCAACTTATGTCCAAATTCACTTTCAAGAAATCCCTATAATAGCTTCAATCTAATATAACATTATTTACCTAATTTGGAATTGAGGTGTGTTTTATGCAGGAAGAGTAATGAGATTATTTACAAATATGATATTGCCATGATATGTGACATGAAAGGATAAGTGCTGTCTTAATTATGGAAGTAAAGAATGATACTGTTTTAGTATATCATATTAACAGTTCCTAGATCTCTCTAACCCTAACTGGAACTCTATTATTAATAAACAATAAGTTGATAACTGGGCCCCAATTTTTATGTAAATTGGGGGAAATAAATTAATGAAGAGGACTACTGCATATTTCATGCCTCAAGGGGAGAAATCAGAGCATATCCCGCACAACTTTTTACATTATAGGAACCAGTGAGGATTTAAAAAAAAATCATAGTGAAAAGATTAGTTGAATGTCATAAAATTACTACTGAAAAAATTAGATGATTTAGTGTTAAAAGCAATTCCAGAGACACCATCACTCTTATAAAGTTGCCCATGGGGCCTACAAAAATCTTCCTTTAAATTGAGTTGACTCCAGGAGATACATTGATTGGCAACATACATAAGTGATTTACTACTGCCATCTTCTGGGATGTGTTCTGACTTTCCATGTAGGCTACAAGCTACATTCCCTGGTGGCTTCCCATCCAAGTATAGATTAGATCTGATCCTACTTTACTTTTGTTAGATAAGCCAAATTCAGCTAAGTGCTACCAACAAACTAGATCTAAATTCGAGACAACTACTGCTTCCTTTCTTCCTGTTTTCTATTTCATATTATACTGTAAGATCTTCTAGGCAGAGTTTTATGCTTTTGGATCTAGTAATGTATTGTTCACTAAAAAATATTAGTATTATGTGTGTGTATAATTATCTCTCTGTGTGTCTCTGTCTATCTCTCTGTGTGTGT